TTTTTAAGGTCAAGATTAAGGCCTTGCTTAAGGAGTAAAAGTCCAGTTAAGGACTTATGATTTGTTAGAAGTATCCTTGCATTCGCTGGGAGTTTCTTCAAATAGTTTTCCTAGATATCGTCTTGGAGGTAAGAAGTATTAGAGGAATCTTCTTAACCACTAATGTAGTTAAAGTTGAATCTCTTTCCACTTTTAATTTTGATAAAATTGATGCAGCTATAGCTGATGCCAAGACATTAACATGAATGACCTTTTGAGGTTTGAGAAAAAAATTGCCCCTAATTGGGAATCATATTCTCACAAACGGCGCCAAACTATAGCATCATAGAATATTCATGGTGAAAGAAAAATATAAAATTTAATGTCTTAGCTTTGTACGAATATATAACACACAAGAAGATAAAAGTGAGGGTGTGGTGTTCATAAGATACACCTCGATTTTTATGTGGAAACATATGAAAAGGGGGAAAAACCACATGGCATGGCACGGTTTGAACGAATTCACTATTATTTGAAGTCGATTTCAAATGAGGCCCTTCCTTGGGGGGGAAGGTCTTGGGTTGATATAGCATAAGTACATCATATTACATGGTAGAAATTAGATGAATTAGTATTGAAATGCTCATTTGGTCGGCAAAACCATAGTCAGTGGGCGATAGAGGTTAGAAAGATCATAATCTCGTGATGGTGGATGGAATGATCATTGCCTGTCAAGGGAGCTCGAAATAAACGTAGTCAGCGGGAGTCAGTGGTCAGAAAGACCATTTTCTGGCAAGGGAGGTCAGAAGGACTGTAATCGATGGGAGATAGTGGTTAGAATGATCATTTTCTGGAGATGAAGGTCGAAAAAATAATAGTAGGTGACGAAGGTCAGAAGGATAGTAGTTAGTAGGAGGCAGGGGTCAGAAAGACTATTATCTAGTGATGGAGGTCAGAAGAACCATAGTAAGAGATAAAGGTCAGAATGATCATAGTCAGCGGGAGACATGAGTCAGAATGACCATTGTATAGCAATGGAGGTTGGAAGAACCGTAGTAGGCTCCGGAGGTTGGAAGGACCAAAGTCGACAGGAGACCGTGGTCAGAAAGACCGTAGTCATAAGGTGGTGGTCCAGCCAAAGTTCAGGAATTATTCAGTGGTATGGCGGAACTCTGACTTCTATCGGTGGTCTGACGGAGGTTTGGTAGAACTCCGACGTCTAGCGTTGGTCCGGTGGAAGTCCGGGTATTAATTGGAGGTCTGGAGGAACTCTAACTTCTGTCGATTATCTGGTGAAAGTTCGGGCCTCAGTCGGTGGTCTGGCGGTGGTTTGGCAGAACTCTAGCGTCAGGCGATGGTCCGGCGAAAGTCCAGCATCTGGCGATGGTCTTGACAAAAGTCCAATGTCAGGCAGTGGTCTGGAGGAACTCTTGTATAAGCTGGTGATGTCAGGAGGTGGTCTGGCAGAAGTCTGGACGGGGGTCGAGGAGGAGCAAGGAGGCAAGAGTGATCTCCGATCTCTCTCTTGATTCCTTGCTTGGGGTTTCTTTCCATGAGAAGTGAGGGGTCATTTTATAAATTTATAAGTGTTGCATGACCCGTAAATAGGAGGAAGATCAAGGGTAAATTGGAAGTGGTTTGGATGGACTGTCGATGTTGAATTCCTTGATTGTGCATTGTTTATTGGGCATTTGACTGTCTTAATGATATCAAAATTCATTGATCTTGGCCTCATTGTATTCATCTAGTCGAGCCGCTCGATTCGACTATAAGCATGTCATGTTTGAAAACCGTTTGGTAATCTAAATTAAGGTTTGAAATTTCCAAAAGTGTTTTGGGTCTTTGAGTTGGACTCATTTGCGTTCATATTTTTGAGACGTTCAGTTCGACTATAAGTTCACAGAAATTGGAGTTCATATGGTCCCAATTTTAATTTCAGAAGTTTCCAACTTGATTTTTTTTTAGATTTGTGCCCGATCAACTTAATTTTTTGATGATCTCTCTCTCTCTCTCTCTCTCTCTATATTTCGGACAAATTACTTAAGAATATTTTTTCTTAAATTAGAAATTGAATATCTTATCATAACGATGATTGACCATAGGGCCAACTTTTTTATTACGGTCACCCAAAATCTTATTCGTTTGTAATAAATTCCTCCATTAATAAATTCATAACTTCCCAAATCCAACATAATTCAAAAATAATGTCAAAAAACCTTCTCCTCATACAAGCCTCAAACCTTATCAATGATAATCCAAAATTAATTCACTAATGAAATTCACAAAAATTCATATTTAATTTTACCTTGAAAGGACAAAGCAATGATAATATTTGAGTTTATATTATGTTAATATTTTCATTTAAAAATCCATCACATCCATCCAAACTTCATCAATTATTGCATACTTAGATTTGTGCGATCGCATAAGTACATTGAATAAGTACAACGTGGCATTAATTGATGAACAGGAATATTAACATAGACTTTATGCAAATTAATTGAGGAGTTCTCTTGAGAAGAATTCCTCAAAGGAGTTTAATATTCTCTTGAGCTTGCATCCATCAATGAGTTTACTCTCGTAGTAAGGTAATGTATTGGCTTTAATGGTATTTATAATATGCATGCTATGAAAACATTGCAAATAAATTAAAAAATACGCCCTGATCTATTTATTTATTATAATAAGAAATGCTGAACTTTATCATTTTGATATGTTAAATCATTTATGAAGTATCAACTCATAATTTATGATCGAATGCTATTAAAATACAACGAAAATGACAAAGCAAAAGGTGTGAATGCAAAAGATAATTAGCTCATACTACAATATTTAATCATTGAACTTCCTCTTAGGAAAACTTCATATATTCACTAAAACATGTTATTTGTATTCATATTCTCTTAAATAATGAAATTTGCTCATAGCACCATCTCTTAATTTTAAAGGATGTAGGTCATTTTACAGTACTCCAACGAGCTCAAGATTGCTGAATTTCAATATCATTAAGACCTTCAAATGTCAGACTAATGGTCCACGATCAAGGGATTCAATATCAGCCGTCCATTCAAATCACTCCACATTTTCCCTTGATCATCCTATTTACGGGTTATGTCACTCTCATAAAACTATAAATAGCCCCTCATTTCTCTTAAGAGGGGACTCAAGCAAGAAGAAGAAGAGAAGAAGAGAAGAAGAAGGAGAGAATAAAAAGAAGGAAGAGACTCTTCCTCGACCACCGCTGGAGTTCTGCCCGAACTCCTGGTGGCGCCAGAGTTCCACCCGAACTCCAAGTGGCACCGGAGTTTCGCCCAACTTCCAAGTGGCGCCGGAGTTCTGTCTGATCTCCAAGTGACTCTGGAGTTTTGTCGAATACCATCTAACGCGGGAGCTCTCCACGGTCGCCGACTAAGTTTGGACTTCTACCTGACGACGGACCTCCGCTCGTCGCCAAATTTCTACCCGACGCCAGACTTCTGCCTGTTGTCGGATTTTCGTCGGACATTTATCCAATGTGGGATTTCTATCCATTACTGGATTTCTACCTAGTACCATCCTTCTGACCTCCGTCGTCAGACAATGGTCCTTCCGACCTCCATCGCCTGCCGACTACGATCCTTCTGGCTTACGTCATCAACCGACTACGGTCCTTTTGGCTTATGTCGCCGACCGACTATAGTCCTTCTGACCAAACAAACACATCAACAGTGATTCTTTGTATTCCCACCATGTAATGTACTCTATAAGATGTACATCAAGCTAAGATCTTCCTCCAAAGAAGGGCCTCATTTGTAATCAACTGCAAATACTAGTTGATTCATTCATACTGGGCTAGGCCCCGTGATTTTTTCCCTTTTTCAGAGGTTTCCACATAAAAACTCTGGTATCTCTTATGAATGCTACACCCTCTCTCTTATCTGCTTGTGTGCTGGATCTTCATACAACGCTAAGACGTTAAACTATATATTTCTCTACCGCTGCGAATATTCTAGGACGCAACATCTATAATTCATCTAGTATGTTTAATTCATCATAAGTTGCATTTGGTTGTTATATTCTTCCATTATATTCTGCATATGAATCACATGTTATAATAAATATAAGGTCTTAGTTATAATTGTGATGATTGTTGAGGGCCAGTCTTCTACTTAGTTATAAAAACTCTTAATATGATTCATAGATACGGACTTAACCTAAGTGCCATGTTGTGAAATGAACTAACACAAACATATAAAATATTCTACAACCAAAATGATGTGTTTTCTAAAATAATTTTGATTTTTCTCTTTTATAGGTTTTTTTTTTCTTTTTTTTTTTTGTATTTGCAATGTTTAGCAAAGAAATAAAGAGAATGGATAAAACTCAAGAGCCTAAAAGTCTAGGAATTTAAGTTCACATTACAAACTACTTCTGAAATTCTAAACTTTTAGAATTGGATTTAAAATTAGTTTTTGGGTGGTTATCAATATTTAGTTAAAAAATATTTGAAAGTGGGAAGGCGGTTGGGATAAGCTTGTTGATCATCATCTTCCAAATTTGACACAGTCAACAAAGATTTAAATCGACTTCTAAACTAACTTTCAATTACATTGCCAACAACCTTTGAAATTTAAAATTAAAATAATAACTACTAAAATAGAAATGCATCATGTATAATAATCCAATCATTTCAATAATGCAATCATTTAATGGCCATTTGAGATTGCATTTTGGAGTTCTTAAAAGTATGACCGTTTGGACTTCTTTTAAATAACATAATATAATTTAAAATTCATCATCTAATACATTTTTAATATAACTAAAATTCACATGAATTGATCGAACTAAATTTTCAGATTATATGAAGTGATGCCACCCTCAACCACCGCTGCACACTAACAACCACTAATTATCAACACACTGCCAATTACTACCACCACCAACCATTTGTTGTCGACTCCATCCCATGACCACCACCCAACACTTGTGGCCACGATTGCATAAGACTTTTATACTGTATTAATTTTATTTCAAACAAAACATAAAAAAAATAAACTCTTATATTTATAATATACACAATCAAATAACTCAAAAATATATTCAATATATTATATATATGAAATAGATACAACATCAGCAATGCATATATAACGAAAGGTTTTTTTTTTTTTTTTTCCTTTTATATAAATTCAAATTGTATGTTGATAGAAACCATTTGTGTGAGGGACTTGGCCTTTTAGCTATTGAGGAGTCAGCTTAAGTGATGCACTGCAAATGACATTGTAAGCTTCAAGGTCAAAGACACTACGATGAAAATTTAAATATATAGAATGTTCAATAACATTAAGAAAAACAAACTAACCTATTTATACAGTATCGCTTTCCAGTGGGTGGTGGTCCATCATCAAAGACATGGCCTAAGTGGGCATCACATACTGCACAAAGAACCTCAGTTCTAGGCATGAAAATAATTGACATGTCCAATTTAGATTTCACGTTGTTCCTAATTGGTTCATAGTAGGAAGGCCAACCTGTTCCACTGTCAAATTTTGTTTTTGATCTGCAAAACACGTATTAGTAAAGAAACAATTGCATGAGATTGACTACAACCATCGAAAAAACATAGTCATGGATAGAAGGGAGTGAAGCTGATTTAGTTTGGGAGGTTATCTGTGCCATTATAATTTAAAGCTTACTCAAACAGCGGTGTATCACAGCAAACACAATGGTATGTTCCGGAAGTTTTCGTGTTCCAGTATTCCCTGGCAACATAACAGCAAATTGAGACCAACTAATAAGAGTTATTCAATAAAAAATCAATTTTATACAAAAACGATTAAGAAAGTGTAACAGTTCAATTTGTTACTAAATTGGAGATGGGGGTGGAGAAAAATTTTGGCATCTTATGGAGGCATGAATATTTATGAGATACTGTCAGATACTGTCAGAATCTCGAGTTCAAATGTACAAGTAGTGATTCGGTGTCTGCTTCAGCACTCTATTGTTCCTTATGAGATACTGTCAGAATCTCTTCTTGCAGAAAGAGTTTCTTAAGAACCCCCTTGATGAGGACATCGCAGAAGGTTCCGACACATGTACCATTGGAGAGGTCGTCGAGCGACGGCCATGATTCAACAGCTTTATTTTTGAGACTTTATTTTATTCATGTCATTTGTATTTCCTATTTTTCCATTTGTACCCCTATGAGGGAAGTAGTGTTTGTTGTAGCCCAAGGGCAACGTCGTCTTTTATTTTCTTATGTTTGTTGAGCCTATATAAAGACTTGATCTTTATATTGTTGGATTATTGATTGGATGAATGAAAATTTTCTTACTTTTGTTCTCTTTGTGAGTGCATGAAGATCTCTTGGTGAGTTCTTCAATTGAGATCTCTTAGTGAGTTCTCTAAATTTTTCTTTTCTTTTAATTACCCTCTCTTACCCACAAGAAAAGTTCCACATACAACTCCCTCTAGCTGTTGCCGCCGACCCCCCCTTGGGATTCCCGCCGCCGGCCAAGGCTCCCATCTCTGGCCGCCCACCTTGCCAATGCCCCTCACCACCCGACCTCCGTCCACCCACCTCCTCTCCGCTCATTTCGGTTTGGAATTTGAAAATTCAAAATTTTAAATTCTTCCCAAATTTGGAAAGTCTATAATTGGAAAGATTGTAAATGAATCCAAATAGAAAATAAAATTAATTTGGATTTTTTTAAAACTTATCCTAGTCATCATGCCATGGTTAGAAACCTTCCCCCCTCCCTCTCTCCCTAACTCCCTCTTCCTCTAGTAATGTCGCCGGCCCCCCTTAGGTGGCAATTTCATTAATTAGGGATTTAATTTCTCCTTAGTTGAAGCCCTAATTAAATCCCGAAATTTCTTCTCCCTCCAATTACATCCAAAACTGAAAGTAATTTCAGTTTTCAAAGTTCCCCCTCCCCTCTATCTCTCCCGCCGGCCCTTCCCCCCATCATGGCTCCAATTAATTGAAAATTCTTTGCCTTAATTACCTCTTAATTGGAAAATTCAAATCCCAAATTTTCCCTCCCAATTCTCTTAAACTGAAACTAATTTTAGTTTTCAAACAAAACCTTCACCCTTTCACCCTAGCTCTACCGCCGGCCTCCCTCCACCTCTTCAACCCGCTGACCCCCTCTCCCTTCCTTTGGAGAGCTTCTCGCGGCGACCACCCATCTTCGCCTCCATGTCGCATGGCGGATCCCGAGCTAGAATAGGGGCTTGTGTTTGATGCCCAAGGTAACCTCGACGTACTACGATCGCCTTTCTTTGATGCGGGATTTGAATCTGACGAAGACACCGTGAGAGATTACTTGGATCGGATCCTCCCGACCCTCATCCAAGTTATTGATAGACAACGTCCAGACTACAATTGGACCATTGACAGCCGATCTTCCACACCACCTCCGCATCCGGCGCCTTCCTCTCCTTCCCTACGGATCTACGGCACCGTCGCCCTCGGAGTGGTTTCATCACTTGTGTGGTTATTCTTCTTCCAACAAACCTAGAAGTAGGTAAATGAGCGTAGCCTCAAGGTGAGACAATCGCTTTGTTAACCGCCGGATTCTAGTTGGCTTTTCATTTGCTTTACTATTTATTACCGTCGTTATTTTATAGATCTTGCTAATTTAGGTGTACACAAGCCCCCATTCTAGCTTGGGATTTGAATCCGACGAAGACACCGTGGGAGATTACTTGGATCGGATCCTCCCGACCCTCATCCAAGTTATTGATAGACAACGTCCGGACTACAATTGGACCATTGACGGCCGATCTTCCACACCACCTCCACATCCGGCGCCTTCCTCTCCTTCCCTACGGATCTACGGCACCGTCGCCCTCGGAGTGGTTTCATCACTTGTGTGGTTATTCTTCTTCCAACAAACCTAGAAGTAGGTAAATGAGCGTAGCCTCAAGGTGAGACAATCGCTTTGTTAACCGCTGGATTCTAGTTGGCTTTTCATTTGCTTTACTATTTATTACCGTCATTATTTTATAGATCTTGCTAATTTAGGTGTAAACTCTTGCCTAAGCGTAGTTGAATTCTAAGATCTTTGAGAAGCTTCAATTGTGAACAACATTAAGATTGCAATTTCATTATTTGAACAAGATTTTTATTAATTTTCTAAATCCAATTCCTGGTTTCACATCATCTTGGTATCAGAGCATGGCTAGCATGCTTTGTTTGTGCTAGATGCATCCTAGGAGTCTAGTTTACCTTACCAATAGTCGTTTGCATGCATATCACCATTTAAGTAGCTAATTTGGTGGTTTTACTTTGCTGTCCAGTAATTTTCTGCATGCTATTTTCATTCTAAACATTCATATTTACTTTACCTAAGTGTTGTCTTTGCCGCTTTCCACCTACCCAATCACCTAGGTCACTTGCCACCCTAGAAAACCTTGCTGTCCAGGACTTTTCCTGCACTGTTTAGTGACTTTTAGGTGCCCATAAACCCTTGTTATGTTGTTGTCCACACTTTACAACCAACCCGTAACACTTAGACAACTTACACCATCGTGTTAGGTTGTTGTCCCTAGTTTTCCAGCAGCGTATAGAAGCCCTAGGAGTGTCTTGCCATAGTGTCTAGGTGCTGTCCTCCACCCCAACACTTCCCCGAACAACCCCAAACCTTCACCCATGGATCCGCAGCACCTCCAAGCTACCCTAAATCTCATTTTGGGCCAATTGGGAACTGTCACGCAGCAAATCCGTAACACTCAGACGGACTTAGCAGATTTTAGGAGATTAACTAGTGATCGGTTAGATAACATAGAGCGTATTGGGAATCCCGCGATCTATACACCTTCACGACCTCACTCACCCTATGACGAGGATAACAGGGCAGATCATGGCCACCCTAGAGACCAGTACCGCCATAACCCGAGGCCCCATCAAGACCCTGTAGGAGATGAGAACCCTTGGAGAGACAATGATGCCCAGTTGTTGAAAAACATTAGAATTGATGCCCCAACATATGATGGAACCCTTGACCCCCAAGTTTTTTTGGATTGGCTTAAATCCATGGATAGTTATTTCAAGTGGTATAACATCTCCAAGGCCAGGAAGGTTAGATTTGCAGAGATGAAACTCACGGGTCGAGCCAACTTGTATTGGACCAATTTAGAGAATATGCGCGAAGCTCGAGGTGAACATCCTATCACTAATTGGAGAACAATGAAACAAGAACTTAAGAGAAAGTATCTCCCTCCTTCATACTACCCTAAGCTCCTTGATAAATGGAATAAATTGACCCAGGGGAGCAAGCCCGTCAAAGACTATATCTCGGCCTTCGACGATTTCATGATTCATTGCAATGGCGAAGAGTCGGCTACCCCAACTCAAATCCTATCCATGTTTAGAGCTGGCCTTAGGGAAGATCTGCGAACTGAACTTTTTGCTAGAGGAATAGACTCGTTAGAGGCAGCCTGCAGCCTAGTCCTCGACCTTGAAGATTCAAAAACCCACTCCCAAACGAGACACTTTGACTCCCGCTCAAACCCTTATAGGACCTCAGCTGGACAACCCCAAAACCGACCCTCGGGTTCGACTGCAAGCCGACCCACTGCTAGTTCGGCCCCACCTCACACGGACCTCAAAGGTAAGGCCCCCGAACGAGACGCTTTCAAACCCAATTCAGGAACCAAGTGCTATATGTGTCATGGGTATGGACACATTGCTTCGCAATGTTCTAGACCTGACAAGGTCACCATAATTGAAGAAGTGGACGAAGAGGAGAACAAACCTGAGACTGATTTGATTCACCATGTTGATGAGGAAGAAGACTCTTTCACTGAAGAAGAACCTGTTACCCTTCAAGTTGTTAGGTGCGCGTTGTCCCAACCTAAGTTAAGTGATGATTGGCGTAGAACCTCAATTTTTCATACCTTTATTAAGATTGGAGAAAAGAGCTGCAAAGTTATCGTTGATAGCGGAAGTTGTATCAATGCAGTCTCTTCAGCTATGATTTCAAAACTCAACCTTAAGATGACCCCTCACCGAAATCCGTATAAGGTTTCTTGGATCAACTCGACTACCATAGAAATTAAGGATCAAAGCCTTATTCCTATAGAATTTGTGGGATATCAGGATAAGATTTGGTGTGATGTCTTAACCATGGATGTAGGTCAAATTATCCTTGGTCGCCCTTGGTTATTTGACAATGACGTCCATATTTATGGGAGGACGAACACCTGTGTGTTCGAACATGATGGAAAGAAGATCAAGTTCCCAAGACGGAAGCCAAGCCTACCCCAGCCAAACAAAGTAAAGGGCTACACCTCTTGACTGTGAAGGAAGTAGAAATTGAGATCACCCAAGGAACACCCATGTATGCCCTAGTAGCTAGAGAAGTGAATGAGGATCAAAAAGAGCCAATCCCTGAGGCAGTTAAGCCTCTCCTTGAGAACTTTGCTGATGTTTTCCCGGATGATTTACCTAACCAACTACCACCCCTGCGGGACATACAACACGCGATAGATTTGGTACCGGGAGCATCTCTACCCAACCACCCTCACTACTGTATGAACCCGACCGAACATTCTGAGCTGAAGAAACAAGTCGATGAACTCCTACAACGAGGATTCATTAAGAAGAGCCTTAGCCCGTGCACTGTTCCTGCACTTTTGACTCCCAAAAAGGACGGCTCGTGGCAGATGTGTGTTGATAGCTGCGCTATCAACAAGATTACTGTCAAGTATAGGTTTCCCATTCCCCGGTTAGATGACATGTTGGACATGATGACCGGAGCAACACTCTTTTTCAAGATAGATCTTAAGAGTGGGTACCATCAAATTAGAATCCGTCCAGGAGATGAATGGAAGACGGCATTCAAAACTAAATATGGACTTTATGAATGGACTGTTATGCCGTTTGGTCTGAGCAACGCCCCAAGTACTTTTATGAGTGTCATGACCCAAGTTCGCATACCCTTCCTAGGAAAATTTGTAGTAGTTTACTTTGACGACATCTTAATCTACAATACTTCGGTGGATCAACATCTTGATCATATAACCCAAGTTTGTGAAGTTTTGAGGAAAGAATAATTGTTCGCCAACCCTGCCAAATGCAAATTCCTCACTGACAGTGTGACCTTTCTTGGATTTATCATTTCAACTCAAGGAATATCTGCTGACCCAGAAAAGGTGTGAGCTATAAATGAGTGGCCAGAACCTAAGAATATTCGGGATGTTAGAAGTTTTCATGGATTGGCTACTTTCTATCGGAGGTTTATTCGAAATTTTAGCACCATCGTAGCTCCCATAACTGACTGTCTTAAGAAGGGGGAATTCCATTGGACGACAGCCGCCACCAGAGCGTTTGAAGATATTAAGAAGAAAATGGTAGAAGCTCCTATTATGCGTCTCCCAGATTTTTCTAAGGTTTTTGAGGTAACCTGTGACGCATCAGAAATTGGAATAGGAGTCTTGTCATAAGAATGACACCCTGTGGCATACTTTAGCGAAAAACTTAATGATATCCGACAAAGGTATTCTACCTACGATAAGGAGTTTTATGCAATCATTCAGTCCCTTAGGTATTTGAGACACTACTTGCTTCCCCAGGAGTTTGTAATATTTTCGGATCATGAATCTCTGCGATACATTAACTCCCAAAAGAAGTAAAATGCCCATCATGGTCGTTGGGTTGAATTCCTACAAGAATATTCGTACACTATCAAACATAAAGCCGGAGCTGAAAATAAAGCAGCCGATGCTTTGAGCCGTAAAATAATGGTCACTAGAGAGATGAGATCGGAAGTTGTTGGATTTGAACGCATCAAGGATGACTATAAGGAGTGTACTGATTTTAAAGAGACATATTCATCACTAACGACGGGAGTTAAACCAATTGTGGATGATTTCTTGTTGGAGGATGGTTACTTGTTCAAGTCTCAAAAGCTGTGTATTCCCAACACCTCGCTTCGTGAATTTCTTGTGTGGGAACTACACGCGGGAGGCTTAGCGGGACATTTTGGGCAGGCTAAGACCAAAGCAGCAGTTGAGTATAGATTTTTCTGGCCCAGCCTTAAGCGGGATGTGAGTAGGATGATCAAGCGTTGTCATATCTGCCAATTAGCGAAACAGAGGAAGCAAAACACAGGCCACTACACCCCACTTCCTGTCCCAAACTGCCCTTGGCAAGACGTTAGTATGAACTTTGTTCTAGGACTACCCAAAACCACTAGGAAGCATGACTCTATCTGTGTCGTAGTAGATCATTTTTCTAAGATAGCCCACTTCCTCCCATGTGCTAAAATGTTTGATGCCTCTAAAATTGTCAAACTATACTTTGATGAGATTGTCCGACTCCATGGACTCCCGAAGACAATCGTGTCGGATCGAGACATAAAATTTACAAGCTACTTCTGGAAAATTTTATGGATTAAGATGGGTACTAAGCTGCAGTTCTCCACCGCCTTCCACCCACAAACGGATGGCCAAACAGAAGTTGTTAATAGGAGTCTTGGGAACCTTCTTAGGACCTTAGTAGGTGAGAACATTAGAGATTAGGATTCCAAACTACCCATTGCTGAGTTTGCCTACAATAATTCTGCAACCGGACCACCGGTATGAGCCCAGCTGAGATTGTTTATGGACACCAACGTAGGCAACCAATAGATTTACTCCCCATGAGTCCTAAGCTTAGAGTGTTAGAGTCTGCATCCGCATTTGCATCGCATATCCATGAATTGCATCAAGAATTTAATAAAAGAATTGTACAAAGTAATGAAAATTACAAACTTAATGCTGATCTCAAGCGACGCTTCAAGGAGTTCAAAGTTGGAGACTATGTCATGGTTCGGATTCGTCTGGAGCGGTTCCCACCAGGGGCCGTTAAGAAACTACATGCTAAAAGTGCGGGTCCCTTTAAAATAACTTCAAAAATAAACAGTAATGCTTATGTTTTGGACCTTCCTAAAGGTTTCAACATGAATCCCACGTTAAACATTGAGGATCTAGTAGCCTTTGATGGCCCTGATTTTAACACTGAAAATCCACTAAATCTTGAGCCTTGTGAGTCCATACCCAGTGAGATCCCAAGCTTACATCCACTTCCCAAAATTCCCACACTACCTAGTACGGAGAAGATTGAAACCATACTCAGTGATGAGATCATTTCCACCAGGGACGGCAGGCGCTGAAAATACTTAGTTCGTTAGAAAGGAAAGCCAGAGACGGAGGATACGTGGTTAGAGTGGGATGAGATACAGAGACTGGACCCCGACCTTCTGGAGCTGTACGAGAGTTTTCAGGACCCTTACTCGATAGGGTTGAGTTCCCTCCCACCCGAGGAGAATGATGAGGACATCCGCAGAAGGTTCCGACACACGTACCATCGGAGAGGTCGTCGAGCGACGGACATAATTCAGCAGCTTTATTTTTAAGACTTTATTTTATTCATGTCATTTGTATTTCATGTTTTTCCATTTGTACCCCTATGAGGGAAGTAGTGTTTGTTGTAGCCCAAGGGCAACGTCGTCTTTTATTTTCTTATGTTTGTTGAGCCTATATAAAGGCTTGATCTTTGTATTGTTGGATTATTGATTGGATGAATGAAAATTTTCTTACTTTTGTTCTCTTTGTGAGTGCATGAAGATCTCTTGGTGAGTTCTTCAATTGAGATCTCTTAGTGAGTTCTCTAAATTTTTCTTTTCTTTTAATTACCCTCTCTTACCCACAAGAAAAGCTCCATATACAACTCCCTCTAGCTGTTGCCGCCGACCCCCCCTTGGGTTTCCTGCCGCCGGCCAAGGCTCCCATCTCCGGCCGCCCACCTTGCCAACGCCCCTCACCACCCGACCTCCGTCCACCCACCTCCTCTCCGCTCATTTCGGTTTGGAATTTGAAAATTCAAAATTTCAAATTCTTCCCAAATTTGGAAAGTCTATATTTGGAAAGTTTGTAAATGAATCCAAATAGAAAATAAAATTAATTTGGATTTCTTTAAAACTTATCCTAGTCATCATGCCATGGTTAGAAACCTTCCCACCCCCCTCTCTCCCTAACTCCCTCTTCCTCTAGTAATGTCGCCGGCCCCCCTTAGGTGGCAATTCCATTAATTAGGGATTTAATTTCTCCTTAGTTGAAGCCCTAATTAAATCCCAAAATTTCCTCTCCCTCCAATTACATCCAAAACTGAAAGTAATTTCAGTTTTCAAAGTTCCCCCTCCCCTCTATCTCTCCCGACGGCCCTTCCCCCCATCATGGCTCCAATTAATTGAAAATTCTTTGCCTTAATTACCTCTTAATTGGAAAATTCAAATCCCAAATTTTCCCTCCCAATTCCCTTAAACTGAAACTAATTTCAGTTTTCAAACAAAACCTTCACCCTTTCACCCTAGCTCTACCACCGGCCTCCCTCCACCTCTTCAACCCGCCGACCCCCTCTCCCTTCCTTTGGAGAGCTTCTCGCGGCGAGCACCCATCTTCACCTCCATGTCGCATGGCAGATCCCGAGCTAGAATGGGGGCTTGTGTTTGATGCCCAAGGTAACCTCGACGTACTACGATCGCCTTTCTTTGACGCGGGATTTGAATTCGATGAAGACACCGTGGGAGATTACTTGGATCGGATCCTCCCGACCCTCATCCAAGTTATTGATAGACAACGTCTGGACTACAATTGGACCATTGACGGGCGATCTTCCACACCACCTCCACATCCGGCGCCTTCCTCTCCTTCTCTACGGATCTACGGTACCGTCGCCCTCGGAGTGGTTTAATCACTTGTGTGGTTATTATTCTTCCAACAAACCTAGAAGTAGGTAAATGAGCATAGCCTCAAGGTGAGACAATCACTTTGTTAACCGCCGGATTCTAGTTGGCTTTTCATTTGCTTTACTATTTATTACCGTCGTTATTTTATAGATCTTGCTAATTTAGGTGTAAACTCTTGCCTAAGCGTAGTTGAATTCTAAGATCTTTGAGAAGCTTCAATTGTGAACAACATTAAGATTGCAATTTCATTATTTGAACAAGATTTTTACTGATTTTCTAAATCCAATTCCTGGTTTCACATCACCCCTCCTATTGAAGGGTGAAAGATAAACTTTAATTGCTAGCCACAAAGAATGACCAAGGGTTCATTGTCATTTGAAATGTTTAGCATGTTCACCCCCTCCTTGCTATTGCTAGGCTAATCGAATGAGTTCAATTCCACTGATCGGGCATCAGACAACAAGGTAGGGAATGAGGCAGCCTCTTTCATTGGTGAGTGGCGTTAAAGTTAGGTTAGACAATGCTATGATGAAAAGTTCGTTTAATAAACAGTTCAAACAGCATGCTTATATGCATCAACAGAAAGGAACAACGTAGGTTGGCCTCAACGATTTGGGATTCCTACAACTTCCACAAGGGAATTGGACAAAAGATTGATTAGCTGCTTGCTACCAGGATTCATACTCAGCTGCTGTTTACCATTACAATTGAACTTTAGTTCATTTTATGTGATCTTACTAGTTTGATGGCAATCTTATGAGTTACTATAGCTAATCTCTTATCATAAGATGACTTTACCAGCTTTTCTCAAACAATTTAAAATTAAGACATCTGAATAATCATCATTCTTATTTTTCCCTTTTATGGATAAAAAACTCTTATTACGAAGGTAAAAAAAAAAAAGAAAAACGAGTAAATTGAAATCTGGGATACAATAGGCTTACCCCGTAAAAGCCCTCTCAGTACCCTTTTGGCGAGTAATGTAGAACTGTTCTGATGTGAGGCGTTTTTTCCACTCATCATCGCTTAAAGGGGAGTAACTATCTTTATCTGAATCTTACACAACAGAGAGACAAAGAGGTCAGTTATAATGCTTTGAACAATGAAACTAATAAACAGATGGTATAAATTTTGACATTCTGCTATGATTCACAAAAGCAATCAGGTACCAACCAAATAGAAAATCAAATGAGGAAGTTAAGGAAAGCAAGATAATATATCAAGTGGCTCCGAGTCAAAGTAAGGTTCATTTCTCCAAGGTACATGGCTTATACAAAAAAAAAAATTTAAAAGATAAAAACTGTTTAATTCAAAAATATGAAACCATGCACCAAGAAATGAAAAAATCAGTAGAATATACTATATGGAAGAAAGCATGAGCGAAATGTATCTTCAAGAAAAAAGTTCCATCAAACTTACCCAATTGTAGAAACTTTTGGGATCTTATGTATGTATATCGAATGACGGAAAATACAACAAAACAATATTAAGGAATATATATAGAGAGCACACACGGCATATTCATAGTTACTTGTATGAGCCATGGATCACATTCTGCAATTTGTTAAAATAGAATATTTCAATAGGCATCCAAAGATGCCTCAAACATGGACCAGATATCTTATTTAATTATAGAAGTCAAAATGCATTCAAACTAAATTTTGAAAACTCTATAAGAACTCTAAAGAATTTATTTCATTAAAGGAAAGAGAGACACAAACCATCAGTTCATTGCAGGAAATAAAAAATTCCTTCCCACATAAGCAGGGCAGCAGGCTAATAAAAAAAGAAGACAAAAGAAAAAAGGGCGATAAAAAAAAAGGATGGAAAATCCAAAATATGTAAAGCACACAAAATAATTCATGTGGAAGGTCTTCTAGTTGCGAAAACAATTGGAACATAATTTCTTTTTTAATGATATAATAATTTTATTATCTAGCTGGGCATTAGGAGCCCATTAAAATAACAATGATTTTTCCTAACAAACTAAAATAAGAGAATTATTCAAGTAATATTACAATGTAGAAACCCCAACCAAATATCACAAATAACAATACCACTTCAACCTAAAGGAAGAAACTATGGTGCAAATGTATATAACAATACTAAATGATTGTCAATCAGCAGAATCATGGAAAGTACTATAAAAATTGTGTCAATGGTGAATACAGTGAATCTGTCAAATCAAGCCCCACTTCGGTCTGGACACCGAGAAGTCTAATTTCCAATGCAGAAGGGTCTACATACTATTCTAATAATGCCAAAAGGAAAAAAAAAAAAAAAGAAAGAAAGAAAGAAAGAAAACATACCAAGTACACGTGCTTTCTTCCACCTCAAGGCCTAAAGACTGGTACTTCCTTCTATTATAACTCTTAAAACATAATCCTTGAAAATATTAAAACATAAAGCCAAAGGTAGTAACTTGATAAATTTAACGGCCTCATTGGACCACAATCGAAAGCCCCTCTCCTTTAATTTTATTTAGTGGAAGATTTTATTTTGTTAAAACAAACCCTATTTAATGAGGACATCGTCAGAGATTTCGACACATGTACCTTCAGGAGACGCCGGAGATCGACGGCCACGATCATGAGTTTTATTTTGAGTCATTTTATGTAGTAGTTTATTTGATTTTTATGTTTTTCCGTTTTTTTCCCTTATGGGTATTTGGTCGTTATTGTAGCCCGAAGGGCATTTTAGTCTTTTGCTTTCTTTGTCATTTTGAGGCCTATTTATATGGCCCTTTTCTTATGTAATAGTTTTTTAGTTTTTGATGAAATGAAAATTTAGCTCTTTGTTCTCTTTGTGAGTTCATTCTCCCCACGATCTCTTAGTGAGTTCGCCGGAGAAAACTAGATCTCTTAGTGAGTTCTAGTTTTCGAATTATCTAATCTTGTGGAAAATCAACGTGGAGACAAGCGAGGTTAGTAAATCCATAGTCGTCGAAGCCTTGAAAATTCCATCTCTTCCTTTTCCCCTTGCTCTTGCCGCCGCCCACGCCAAGCAACTCAAAGCCGCCGGCCACCCTTCCTCCATCTTCCGCCGGCCAGTTTAGCAGCCGACGACCACCCTCCTGCCCGCAGCAGCCGCCTCCCGCCGGCCAGCCACTCTCCCCGCGCCTCTCCATCTTGAATTCCTATTGTTTGAATTTTCAAACCCTTGATTAAACACTTTCCTAATTGGTCCCCTTCATTATGTAAGCCCATTATGAAATTAAGCAAATTCGAATTTCAATTTGTTTCTCTCTCATTATAAGGCTTGGGAAGTTACAAAGCTACAATTAAATTTGAAATTAAAATTCAGATTTAATTGAATTACTTACGTAAACTTGGGCCCCACTCTAATAACTCCTAAATCCCACTCTCTTCCTCATATGGCCGGCCACCCTTTGTTGGTCTTCTCTCTCTTCCAAATGACATAATTACACCAATAACAGCCCAATTTCTCCCATTGCCGCCCCCCATACAATTCCCCCTTGGAATTATTTGAATTCATCAAATAATTCCCTTCCCCTCTTCCAAAACTGAAATTATTTCAGATTTCAGTTTTTTGTTTTCTTGGAGCCTTCTCTCTCCTTTTTTTCCTTTCTTTTTTTCTTTTCCTCTTTTGCTTCAACAAGTGGTCGGCTCAAGGGATCAAGAAGAGAGTTCTCCACATCCATGGACGGCCGATCCCGACATCGACCACGACTTCGTCTTTGATGATCAAGGAAGAAAGGATAAGACGTTGGATGCTCTCTAGTCATCCCATGGACTACCCGCCACCGACTCCCACTCCAACGGACTACACTTTGTTCGCCATTTGTCTCCTAGTGGCATCGCTCGGTTGCTCTCAATCTTCCTCCATTAAAAGTGTCACCAACAAGAGAGTGAGTGAGAGACCCAAGGTGAAAAGTTCTATTTGTTAATTGTGGATTATTGTTTCTCTCCATAACATTACTATCTAATTCTATGTTGCCAATTTGATATTGTCCCATTAATCTAGTTGTAACCACATGCCTTAATTTCGACTTGATAATTCCGAGAACTTAATTTGGGTAAGTATTAATTCTATAATTAGCAAAGCCTTAACAATCTTATATTAAAATCCCCAAGCAGTTCTTGTTTCCATTGCATGTTGTTTCACATCATCTTGGTATCAGAGCATGTCTAGCATGCTTTGTTTGTGCTAGGAGCATCCTAGGAGTTTGGTTGTTCTTGCCAATAGTCGTTTGCATACATAACACCATTTAGGTAGCTTAATTTTGCTGTTTTACTTTGCTTCCCAGTAATTTCCAGCATCATATTTTCATTGTAAACATGCATATCTACTTTACCTAAGTGTTATTTTGGTCACTTGCCACCCACCGCTTCACCTAAGTCACTTGCTACACTTGAAAACCTTGCTGTCCAGAACTTTTCCTGCACTGTTTAGTGACTTTTAAGTGCCCGTAACCCTTTGTTAAGTTGCTGTCCACACTCTACAACCCACCCTAAACACTTAGACAACTTATGTCATTGTGATAGGTTGTTCTCCTTAGCATTCCAGCAGTATATAGGAGCCTTAGGAGCACCCTACTGTAGTGTTTAAGTGCTGTCCTCACCCTAGAAGTTAACCTAAATGCTTGGACAACTTCTCCCACTGTTGTACTTTGCTGTCCACTCAAAAACTGCACCGTTTAGAGGTGTTAGAAGCTTGTTTTCTTCGAGTTTAGGTGCTGTCCTTAACTTTACGACCTTCCTAACTGCCTAGATTTCTTAAACCACCTTTCTAGCTTGCTGCCCATTATTTTCCTGCACTTTATAGCAAGTCATATTTATGTTTCCTCCTCGTAGAGTATTATCCCATACACCCAATCTTCTTTAGGTATCACTTAGCGCTTCCCAATGGACCCGATAAGACTCCAAAAGAGTTTAGATGACATCATTAACCTAGTGGGCAATATGACTAGAATTATGACGGAGAAACCCGTTGACTATCCCCACTCTAACTACATGCCCCACTCAGCTTATCACCCGAGACCTAAGCCTAGGCCTCCTCAACCTCACTTAGAATCACCATATCGTCTGCCTGCCTTTGATGGTTCTTTGGATGGTTACTCCTTTAGGGAATGGGTTAGACAATTAGAGTACTATTTTGAATCGCATGAAATCCCAAATTCTCGCCAGTTTAGCATTGCTAGGTCACACCTGAACGGTAGTGCTCTCCAATTTTGGATGAGGTTAGAAGATCATAAAGAGTCTCGTGGCGAATACCCTACCACTTATTGGAAAAACATGAGACGAGAACTTGGATTAAAATACCTTTCCCCTACTTATGGTCACCCATCTGTTAGAAACATAAGGGTTGCTTCCCCACCCTGTATGTCTTCACATAACATTGATGACTGATCCCCTATTGGATCTACAGTTGGATTAGTCTATTATGACTCCCCACTTGGACCCACTTCTAGTCGTCCCAGTCAACTTCTAGCCTCCCCAGTCCTTGACCCTACAAGTGCGATTTTAATAAAAGAAAACATTAAGAAGAAGAGGTTCCCTGATCCTGAGACTGAGTGCATCCATTTCGTAGATGCTAGTGATGTCACTAATGAAGAAGACTTCTTTGAAGATGAAACTGAAGTGATTGAGTTAGACCCCCTGCCCGACTTAAACCCTGATTTAGGAGGTCTAGAACCTTTTAACCTTGAGACCTTAGCCCCTCTTGAGTCTAATCTCATTAACGATATCCCTTTGGATAAGGTCTGTCTGGACGATATTAATTTAATTCCGAAAGAAACTGATCTGGCCTTGAACACAATGAAATTAAATTCGGAAGATTCTAATTTAATTACTGAGATGAATCCGGATAATTCTGATTTAATTCTGGATAATTCTGATGGCGACTCAGCTAATCTAGAGAATGTAAGTTAATCGAATTTGTCACTTGATTCAAGTGAAACGGAACTTATGGATTTTAGGGTTAAAACTAAACCTGATTCTACTTCGGAAGACAGTACCTTGAGTATGAACTTCTTTGGGCCTAATTTGAATAATGAGCCTTCTTTTGTCTCATTAGAGTCTAACTTTGGAGCTACT